AAAATATAGCGGCAAAAGTAAGTAAATACAGCAATTAGCTACTTTGCGTGATATAATCAGTGCAAGGGATCCCACTTGGTCAGCTATTTGTAGGAAATTGTATATTTCATGGTATATACTTTTTTATGACAAGAGTGAGTCATTAAATATTTGACACCATTTCACAGTAGTGTAGCTAAAATAACATTAACAGTTTGGTCATAGAGTCAGCTGAACTCTAATTAGCTCATCATCTAACTGGGTCATAGAGCGGAAATTAACTTTGAAACGCCGTGGCATGATTGACTCAAACTTAGACGTTCAATTTTCACTCTAAGTATCTCATTTCAAGCCGGAAAAAGCCATGGAAATTAATTAACCTTCGTATACATTCTGTTAAAACATGTGATTGCAATCGAAATTTACAACTGAGTTAACAACAGATGACTTTTACTCCCGAGGGAGACAAAGACGTGCTCTAGACCCACAACGCGTGTACCAAAAACGGCTGTTTCTGCAGCATGGCGAAAATTTAAGTTATAGCTCAATAAAAAGTGCCTACAGCAAGTCTATATAGATAAAATAGGTTTCCAAAATACGATGGAATTAGTCCCATACAATTTAATAGTATTAAAGCTATACATAATCATGACAGCAAATGAATATGTGAATTCTTATTTTAAAACTGCCTGCACAAAACATAATAAGCATATTGAATGGATTAGATTTATGGACGCTGGATAAATGAGACTGCAGTTTTGTTCCAAACTAAGATGAGTGGTAATCTCACTAATATTATAAATCTGAAAGTTTGTGAGTTTATGTGTGGGTTGCTCAATCGCGCATAAACTACTGGACGGATTGGGCTGAAATTTGGCATGATGATAGCTCACATTCCCGATTAACATTTAGGCATATTCTTACCTCAAAGATCCTTTTGGGCTCCGCCCCAGTGGCTCTGTAATTCCTCGTGTTAACCTTTTGAGTATTCATATTTAAAGGGAATTAAAGAATTTAGTCAGCTGTTTCAATTAAAAAATTGGTTCTATGATATGCAAAAGCATTAACAGTTATACCAACAGGGTGCAGCACTAAAGGTTTTTCTGCATTTATGAAAACAGCTAATTTGAGCCATTGTCTATTTTTTGAACTAAGCAGCAACAAATAACTGTGATATGCAATGAAAACTGTCAAAGTTAGACTCTTTACAGTTATGTTTGTGTTTATAATATCATGAATAGTTTGTGATATTTTGAAATTTTTTAATAATTTGTTGTCTCTGTTGTTTAGGTGAAGTGGTAGAACATTAAAGTAAAGTTATGGCTATGATAGATGTGTAATACTAAAGTATACCGTAAATTTAACAAAGCAAATGTTATCAAAATGTGTCCTCCCCCATTGCAAACGCAAAGCTTGAGTATAACTGCAGTAAGTATTTTATACTTATATGCCAACCCCGTACGAAGGACGGGTATAATCTGCCAGTATACAATAAGAATCAATACAAATTTATAATGATGTCTCCTCATATTTGTTATCATAGCAGATGGACGGCAAGAATTGCGTACATCACATCAGCAGGGACATGTGCGAATATTACGTTGTCAGGTCCTCTTGACGAAACTCATTTAGTTATAGAATAGTATACAATATTAATAAACACATGAATATAAATTTGTATAAAATATGAATATATGGACCCACACTACATTTTGTCAATGTGTTTTTAGTGCAACTCCACTAATTAACATATTAATATGCATGTTTAAATAATGTTTCCAGCTAAAATACATAAAACTTGAGTGTAAACCTAATTTTGCTGGCACTAACCTTTATACATATTTTTCTATTTTTAAGTGGAACTTTGAATACTGTAGTGCTTAAATCTGCAAAAATATTACTATTTGCTGAGGTAAACAACGATTAGTATTCTGAGTCGACTTCTTTCTTGGTAGCTCGGGTGTTGTGAATTTCCTTGCAAACGAGGAGACAAAACAGACACTGTATACAGGCAGGAGTAAGAATAAGGTATTGCTACCTTAGATGCATTAAAGCACAACTGTGTCCCGTTTAAGCAATTGCTTAGCATAATTGCAGTTCATCTGTTAGTGTTTTTCAGTTGTAAAATGCAATTATTTTTTATTTCAATAATTCCTTGTGACATTCTGGTAAAAAAACAATATATGAGTGACGTAATTTTCCAATTACATGATGTGTGTGTCATGTGTGTGTATATATATGCATACACACAGAATAAACTTTTCAGTGAACAAAGTTATATGTCAAACATTTCTACTGGTCTATTTCACCAACCAACAATTTCTCTAGTAAACATGTGTTTACGACAACAAAATATTTTTCGTCCAACATATGTTAATGTAACTAAACAAACTTCCATTATATTAATTTACTCTATAATTTCTGCGATTTTATTTATTTAAATATGCCTGTGATTGAGGGTGTAGGAGACGAGGTTTTACAATTTATTGCGTTTTCCACGCTAGCTTTGATAGTCATCGCAGCCTGGAATTTGACCAAAGTAAGACAGTTGAGCAATCTCAGAACGCAAGAAAGAAGATTAAGGAGGAATCAGGAGCATCGTCTAACCAATGTTGCGAACACCCGAAATGCTGCTACTGAAACTTTGGGAGAACCCGAAACTACCTCATCAGGGAATACAGAAGATTCCAATATCAGCGTCAATCCATCTTCACAGAACAATACAAAGGATCAACACTCGAGCAGTTCGTTGTCAGGATGTGACATGCGTTTACATATAAAACTGAAGTTCCAAAACGATTTGATGAAAACCGTTGGGATTGATCTTGACGAGGAGGTTGGAGAGTTCAGGAGGCGGAATTTCCACTCTGAGTTGTCACAGGGAAGAATAGTAATACTTATCTTCAACGGTAAGATTCTTGAAAATGATAGATTGCCTCTTAGAGCATATGGAATCTTTCATGGCTGTGTGTTACTCTGTATGATTCGTCAACAACCCAACATTCAACGACGACCAAGAGTAGCTTACTTTCTCGGGGGACGATCAAGAGAGCTGAGTCGTCCAGGACTACGATCAAGAGGATCACACCAGGAGTCAACAGCAAGGCCTGCTCCTTTTGTACCTCATCAACGTCTAGCTTTCGATTTCAACTCTGATTACATGCGACGCTTGGTTAGCTCAACTACAACGCGGTGTGAATGTATACACACGCAGCAGTTCTCAAGGAATTCCATATTTCCTCAGCCACACCACAGCTTTCAAGAGGTTAGATCAAGAGGATTTATACGCAGCTCTGTACATATCTTCATGAGAGTGGCTGCTACTGCTAGAAGAATTCTCCAGATAGTAAACAGACATTCTTCTACAGCCATTCTTATTTCATTTGGTGGCGTTTTACAGATTGGCTTCTGGTATTTTAGATACCATCATTCAAGATTGTTTTCCCTCCCTTCCACAGTCGGTCTTTTATTTATGTCTGGAATGTACGCTATCTTCGTGGTAAGTTTGTTCTTTCCCGAAGCGGGGGTAGACCGAGTCCCAGAAGAATGAATAAATTTATTTGTTTGCCTGTGTTTGCGTCAAAGGTCCGTAGGAAGACATGTATTTTATTTTGAAAAAATATAAAGTTTAATAACGATTTTGGTTTGTAATTGTAATACATGTGTTTATAGCATGTATAGGCCTACCTAAAGTGATTACTGCTTATTAAAACGAACAGTTTCAATTAACAGCTACGTATTAATCGTTGATTATTTGCCAAGCTTACAAAACTTGCTCCTCACAATTTATGCATGAATAAAAGTTGAGGCTATTTAAGGTCCACGTCTGTTTTTTTTTTTTATTTATTTAACAGCCTTTTTATTTTTACTCACTTATATGTGTTTATATAAATGAAATTTACGTGGTAATTGGAAGCTACTTCAATCAACATACTTTCTGAAAGAGAGGAAATGTCAAATTTTCTTTAGAACGAATGCACAACGCAGGAAATGTGATATAAACACAAAATAAACAAAACTAATCTCGTTTCCAGAACATTAACCAGGTACAACACGGCGCGGTTCGGTTTATTCCTGCAGAAACCTTGTTAGCCTTGCAATCTTTAATGTGACAAACTTTGGGTCTGACTAGCAAAATGTAAATATAGAAAACAAAATAATGAGCTAATGAAAGTACAGTATTGTTTTTAAACTTTTACTGGGCCATCTAATTTTTAAGTATCAATTATTTATCCATACTATAAAACGAGTAACGTTTGCGCACAGTGATGGGTTAATGTATGACTTTTTACACGCTACAGTTTTTGCAATTTATATATAAGCAAAAGAGTGCCAAATATCAACACCGTAGGTTGTAAAATAAATAAGATATCCTGCAAACATTCCGCCAAAACATTCAAAAATCAAACTAAAAAAATTAATATATAGTTTTTTTTTACCAAATGCAAAAAATGTCAATAATATGGAGGTGTCTACTGTATTTACCATTTTACACCAATACACCTAGATATGTCCTGTGCAGTGCTGGAAACAAATAAAACAAATTTCTAACAATCATAACAGTACAGTACAGTATATGTATGTACTGTATGATTGCTAAATCGTGATGGAGAGTGGAGAGTTTGTGCCCTGTGTACTAATTGTAGTAATAAAAAAAACACATATTATTTGCATGCTATACGTTTAGCTAAAACTGTTTTAAAAGTATACTAGAGTAACCAAGCAGAACAAAAAATGTAATAAACAAATTCGCATATTCTTGGTAAATGGTCTCCAGTAACGAACACTGTGAATTTACACAATGTGAATATACCTATAATATTTAGTAGTTTAGATTATTTCAACAAAACTTTGATATAATAATTTCAATATCTAACCTCAAACATATTGAAACTACCAGAATAGTTGCAAAATACTTAAAATCCTGACAAGTATAACTGGATGGTTCATCAATAAACTAATAGAGTCAATTGAGTTGTTACGATATAAAATATATAGATTTAATGGTTTCTACAAGAGAATTATGATAACTGTACTGTTTCGTCCCAGTAGGTCTGAGTCAACCATGGTAACACTATGTTATCTACAAACCAGTCATTTTCAATCTGAATATGCAGCCCTGGACACACGATTGTATGAAGCCTTGCATTATTAAACAGTTTTTGCAGTCCGATTCTGTCCTCTATGTACAGTTTTGAGTTGATCATGTTTGTTATTTCCTTATCTTGTCCCTCAGTGTAAAATCCAAACCAAGAAGAATCTCGTGGCACCACCATATAATCCCGATCAAATTTGACAAGAACCAAGTGTTTAAGCTTGAGTAGGTTCGTCCTGTACTCGACATTCAACGTCTTTTCATTGTTTATGTCCGCGATGAATGTGTTCTCCTCAACGTACTTGTTATGGTTGATAGGGTCATGCCAAAGTTGATTGACGACAATGCTCTTTTTTCGAATATATTCCCAGTATGAGTGCTTATCTACAAAAAATTCCGGTAAGGAAAATAAATTTTTTCCCAAACTATAGTATCCTTGGTGTTGTGCTCCTAGAGTTATCAGGTTGAACATTGGAGGGTTAGGGCATCTTTGCGCTACTGCTCTCAAAAACTGCCCTCCTTGCGAGATTCCAACGCCATGGTAGCCCCGTCGAAGATTTGGGTCATCAGCGATCATGTCGCAAGCTTGCTTCACCTGTCTGTTCACATCCATAAACAATGAATTCTTATAGTCTGAATATCCGCTAGAACCGATCTTCAAAGACTTTATATAAGCAAGAGGTATTATACGTCTTATAAGGTAAGTTAATCTTGACACCAAACCCCCAAAGCTTAACATACCGTGCCAGAGAACAATAGGCGTTGGATCAGTTTTGTACTTGTCTTCTTGTTCGTAATTCCCGATCACAGCAGGCAAAGTCAACACTAAAAAGAGAGTAACAAGAAACATCACGAGTTGTAAAACCGAACACAAGTTTGTCACAAACTGTTTCACACAGCTGTTTGCAATCCACTTAACCATGAATGATGATCAATTATCATCCGTTTAAAATACTACGAGACTTTAATCGCATTTTAACTTGATAGTTAGTACTGTATAATTTTAGTATATCCATGAATAAATTATATTGAGGCCCACATAAAATGACGGGTAGTTGTCGATGAAATGTTGTAAATACAACTATACAATTTTTAAACACTATCCGAGATTGAAATGAATAATCATGAAACATAGAGATTTTTTAGCAAAAAAATATTGCATGGCTTTAGATGTGTATTGATGGACAGTATTTGTTCATCTTGTCTCTGATGTATGTAAAATTTGTAAAACTGATATTTATGTTTGTTCCTGCATTTTTGTCAATGTTGATATTTATTGTAAAATAACTTCACACTCTTCTTTGATATCACTCATGCACTACTTGTTGCCATCCAACTTTCTATTTATAAATTGTAAATATTTGTATGGTTAATATTTTTGTTACTATTGATATTGTTACTACATTGTTATTGTTCACTATTTGTACAATTTTTACTATTTTGTTTCCTGTAATTTCAAGTTGTGAATGTTTTTTTATCGTAAAGTGGCTATGCCACTGGGAAATAAAATAGGCCTAAATAAAATAAACTATAATACTCTTTTTTTATTTTTCTTAATGTTTTATTTATTTGTTTTTGCGTATATCCAATGAATAGTGCGGGTTTTTTTTATTTCGAGCCATTGGCCACAATCACAATCATTGACATAACTCGTTGTTGCAGTTTTGCCAGTTTTTAGAGGGCCCCTTCCAAATCTCTATGCTATTTTTATTAAGATTAAGTAAACCATGAAATTTTGCTTGGATACATGTTGATCAAATTTGGCACATTAATTTATTTTATTACCAAAGACAAAAAGAATTAAATATTTGTCTATGGTTCTACTAACTTAGACCTTTGATACCAAACTTGACCTATATGCTGCTCTGCTGTGCTATTTAAGAATTATGTATGACTCCTCATGGGCCGTCCCCCTTAAGTGGTAAAAATTACTAATAGTTTAAAAGAGTAGACATTTATTGCTATTATTGATGTACTAAGTATAATTTCATTTCATTTCATTTATTTCAACGGCCAATTTATACATGGAAAATTCAAATAACATGATACTGTGCAACAAGTTTAACAAGCCAAGGCAATGAACAATAATTTAACAATCAATAAAGGAAACAATAACAGATCAGTCAACGAGAAATATCAATAACAACAATTTAACAATAACAATGCAAAAAATTTAACAAGAACAAAAATAGAACAATAAATACAATAAATTAATTTACAATGCGATAACAAACACTAGCAAGATCTAAGCAAACAGTAAACAGTGAGTTTTTCCATTCAAGGCAGAAACAATAAATAGTAGTAATAATAGGACAAGTATAAACATGGGAGAGAAATTGTAAGTTTTGACTAGAAATACTTAAGCTACAAGGAAACAGATATTGCACTAACAGAACAAACAATGCCTAATAATTTATGATCAATTTAACAAAGAAAACCATTACATCCAGAAAATAAAACAGAAAAATTAAAGAAAGACATAATTGAACATCAACCCGGGGCGATGATACCTATCCCACATCACTGAGGGCCACCGATCACCGAACACAATCACTAACTTGCGCCTTGAGCAGATTTCTTTTAAAGATGGATGAGCTGCAGCAGAAGATGTCGAGGTTTCCAGTTATTAGGTTCCCGTGCCTTTGAAGTCTCACTGGACTGTTCCTACCGTAATTTGAGGAGGCTGCTGCTACCCTGGTGAATAGGTCAGTGGAGCGAGTACCAGTGGGAACCCTGAAGTTGACCTTCTGGAGTAGTTCTGGGCAATCAAGTTCAGAGGTGACCAGACGCTGGAGGAATGGTACGTCGTGGGTGAAGCGTGAAGCGTCGGGATTCCAGTGAAGGCAGCTTCAGGAGGGATTGAAGATCATAACAGGAGCCTCAAGGAACCTGTATCCCAGGCTAATAATAATTGCTTTGTCTATAATGGTAAAACATATATTACACCATTCTGAGACTTTTCAATCACACTGGCACTGGATTTAAGCTTGCTTCCATATACTCAATGCTTCCATGCAAGAAGCAAACAAGAAAATTTGAAAAAAACTTCCAGTCTTCCTACTCTTGGCGGGAAATACAAGGATTGGATGATTTTTCGTAATGGTTGGCCCCCTGGTGAGTAGAAAAAGAACATGAACCAACCAAAGGTGAACTGAAAAAGAGAAATAAATTCAATTTTGGTACTATTTTTTCTGGTTCGGAAATCGAAATCGGTAGTCAGTCAAACAGTCAGCCCGGCACTCCACTCAATCAAACTCAAAACAAAACTCAAGTGAAGTAAATAATATAATTTTTAGTGCTTTATCTTTACAGATTGTTATTTGTGAAAGAAAATATTAATTTATTTCAGGCAATTGTAGGAAAAAGTGTTTGGTGGTACCAAATCATCCGAAATTTTATATAGACCCAAGCAACTAGCCTAGTTTTAAACTAATTAAAAAGGTAAGTTAAGTAGGCCTAACTTAATTCCATTTGAAATTCTAACCTTAGCCTACCTAACTGAATAAATTTTAGGCCGCCTAGTGTTGTAGCCCAGTAATTTCCTGAGTAAATAAAGTAAAAGACGCGCCAAATCAACTGTAATTTAAAGATGGTCCTACAAAATCTAGATTTAAGTCCGTTTTAATAGTAAGTTTATTCTCTTACAGAGGTATTACAGAGAATAAACTACTATGTTGCCTTGAAGTAAACTTAGGGTCTAGGCCTATATTTATTTATATATCTGACCTTAGGCCTAGGATAGCCTATGCCTATCTTATCTTTAATTTGGCCTTATGGTACAGTTCGGCCAAAGTTTCTGTGCACGCGAGGTCAGATCTGTTTGGGTCTAGGCGAGGGGGTTGGCGGGGGTACTTTTGTGAAAACATTTGTGGCTCGCTACTCACTCACCCCTACCCCCAGCACCGTCAATAGCCGGTACCCGTATGTTTTACTTCAGCTAGTAACTTAGCGACTCGTCCATGCGCACAGAAGTTTTGGCCGAACTGTAAGACAGTACTTGAGTTAGTATAATTTAATTGAAGCCTAGGTCACTTTAGGCCTACCTAAGTTGAATATTGTGTAGTGTACCGGTAATGATGTTCTTTCGTCCCTACAGTACGGTAGGCCTAATTTAATTTGGTGGTTGCCTGTTGGGTCCCTATGCATGTGCCTACCATGTCTATTTGGTAATTCGGTCCTGGGAAATGGAAAAGGTTCAAATATTTATTATATAACTTAGGATCTGGGTGTTATGTTACATTGATTAGGCCTATAATAGAAAAAAATACCAAGACTTATTTAAGGTGATAACTTATGAGTGAAGAAACCACTGTGGCTCGGCCACTAACTTAGCTGATGCAGATATATTTTTCTAGGCTAAACTTATTGATTTGTTTTGTTTCATTGTGGGAGTCTGAGAGATAGGCCTACACATTCCAAATAGGGTACCTAGGCGTGTATAGTTGAATAAAAGCCGCATTAAGGTACCTTTCTTAATGCTGCTCCTCCTTTGCTCATCTTTCCGCTGTTACTAAGATGCTCACTGAGATACCGGAACCGATACAACCCCTTCTAATAGGCCTACTTTCCCATTCAAGTCCAAGGCACCAGCTGCTCTAGCGTTATAATCTCATTTCCTTAGTCTAGACCAACAAGCTCAGCCTCTTGTAGAGAACCCAATTTGGCCTGAATGTCTGATGAAAAATCTTTTGCTGAACATTTCTCTGGGCAAGTAAGCATGTCATCATCTAAGTCAAGGTCTTCTAGTAAAACTCTTAGCCCCAATTTACTACTCAATAATAATTCAGGGAAAACAACTTTGGATTGTCAGTTAATGTACTAAGAATAGATATTGTAAAACCCTCCTTATGGCTGTGTATATCGTCACCTATTAAAATTGATATTTGCTACCCACCTATTTCTGCTGGAATCTTGTTAGGCCTAGATTAATTTGTCAGTTCAAGGTTAAGCCTAGCCTATATGCTTTATTGATGATGTAGCCTATTGATAAAAGTGTAAATATTTTAAAAATCTAAATATAAGTAGGGTATTAAATGTTAAATGTGTTGTTTTCACAGGTCACAAATAATGGCCTCTAAAGCAAAGAAGCCCAGAAAGGCCAACGGCTACAAAATGCCTCCTCCAATACCTGCAGGTTTCTCTGTTAAGAATAGCAGGGAGAAAAACAAATCCTGGAAACTGGGTACTTCAATAGGAAAGGGAGGATTTGGAGAGATATATTGTTGCTGTAAGTAAGCGTACTACTGTACCGGTATACAGTTTTAATAATCTGCAAAACCCTTATCACTTGTATTGAATGGTGAATAAAGCTTTTGAATCTTTTGAATCTTTATCCTATACTGTAGGCCTACTAACAGTAAAAGGTTAAGGAGAAGGTAAACCACAGTTTTTTTTATTGTTTTTTTTAGTTTTGATAATTTAATTTAAGTTACTGTGGTTTTTCAACATAATCTACGGTTTTAAGAAATAATAGCCTCGTTAAAATAACTTAATAGTTGGTAGGTCTAATGTTAAATTTCTGACTAAAATATATGTCCTTACTCTTTATTTAAAGTATTTTAATTGCGGTGTAGCTAAAGTTTTTGTCAACTTCAGCTACAATAAAAATCACTTAGGGCCTACAGCATGTAACTAAAATCTATAAAATATGACCTTATGTGATAAGCTATGATTATTTCACTCAAAGCTTCTCCGTGTCTTTATAGCTGCTGTGGAAGAAGGATCAACCTCAAAATCCAAAGTCAACCAAACATACGTCATGAAAATAGTAAGTGTAAAATTTTAATTACCTACCTGTTATATTTGTTTTCAATTTTCATACAAGCTTAACTTGACCTTACTTAAGATAGCCTTGTTGCTGGATCTAGTCTAGCAGACTCATTTTTAGAATTTTCAGTATTTAGGCCTACTAATTTAATAGGTACTGGATCATTAATAATCTTAACTTTGTTTTCAAGGAACCTCAAGAAAACGGACCTCTTTTTGTGGAAATGCACTTCTACATGAAAGCTGCCAAAAAAGAAGACAGTAAGTTTTATCTCATTAGCCTACCATTAGTAAAGAATTCATTTCAAGTACAAACTGTTTATTCATTCATTCATTTATTCATTGGATTAGAATATGCCTTTTAGTCAACGTTCTTCTTGATTCTCTATCACACTTTCTACTATCAGTTTATTGCTTGGACTACAGGTTCATTGTTGTCTATGTTTATCCAATCTAAAACTTCCATCTCTTTGCACCTGACGTCTCTATTTGCTCCTGATGATTGTGGATCTACCTAATGCGCTAAATGGCACTTACACACAACAAATTTCAGTCGGACGCCGGATTATTTGGAAGTGCTAAACCATGGGATGCTGGATTAGCGAGCATTTACTGTACGTCCAATGATTTCTTTAAACCATTTTAAAACTATTTGTCAACCCTCTGGCCAAGAGCAGCTCCAGGGGGGTCGCTATACCCCTCCCCCTTAAGGTACCAGGGCTACTACTTAGCTGTAGGCTATTGGCAGCAATCTTTCAAAAATTAAAATTACTGGTCCTCATAAAATTTATGATAAGGATTGGAACGGAAGTCTATATATTCATAGAAAAGGTCGATCAAACCAATCAATTTACAAAATTATGTTATCACCTTTTTTGGTAATCCTTCAAAATGCATTAAGCAACTATTATGCAATACAGAAACGAGTAATAGTGATAACAATAACAGAGTAGAAATAGATAACAGTGATAATGTTGTATCTTCTTCTGCTGTTGAAGACTGTTCTATAAATTTAGACGACAAAACACACTTACCAACTGGGGACTGCACTGACCACTGACCACCTACAGTCTAGACTCAACATCCGATGGGATCGCATCTGACTAAATCAGCTGAAGGTTAAATGTAAAATGTGTTTTTTGCCGTGTTTGTGTCTTCAATTATTTTACTTTTTCGTGTTATTAAAATTGACTTAGATTGAGTTTGATTCATATAGAAACCTGTGGCTAGGTGGGCTAGGCGTGTTATCTCACAGTTTACACTACTGGTGTTTGTCTCTTATTTTTGATGTTATTTGTGAGGATTGTTTTTAACCAACATTATATTCAACCGTTTTGTTTTTCCGTTTTTCTCAATGTTTTGGTCAGAAAAAGACTCTACTGTAGTAAAGATTTTAATTCAATAACTTTGTAAAATTCACTCCCAATACAGGCTTTAATCTGTGTAAGGCTTAAGTTAGGTGAACTAAAATTTGCCATTGGTATTTGTGATTGCAGTCGAAGGCTGGATGAAATCCAAAGGTCTTAAGAGACTAGGCATGCCGTGCTATGTGGACTCTGGGACGTTTGAGTACAACAAGGAACGCTTCCGTTACATCGTCATGGACAGATATGGACAAGACTTATGGTCTATATTCCTGGAAAACAAGAAGCTCTTCCCTTGCTCAACAGTTTTACAGATAGGATTACAAGTTGTGAGTGTTTTTGAAGGTTTCTGTCAATTATAAAGAGGAATAGTTATGTGGTCACTATCTAATAAAACAGAGTATATACTGGCCAGTAATTTTACTAAGAATGAAAAACAGAAGTCACAGAAAAGTGACTGGTTTAAGATTACATTAAGGTGGAATAAATGAGTTTAAAACACAGTTAAATTGATACTTTGTTGTTACAGGGGGGGAGGGGGGCTTCTTTAGAGGGGCCTCCTAGATTTTGCCTTTCAATGGAAGGAATAAATTTTAATCCTAATATGAATGTTAAACATGAGGGGTGAGTGATGCCTTGTGTGGCTTCAAAGGAGAATCTGATGTTTCAGTTACCGTGGGTGACAAAAGTCATGTTACCTACATAACTCACATGGCACATTCCATACTCTCATAACAAAACACGAGACGTATTGACAGACGAAGACGATTAACATAAATTCGGGAACTAGTTCCACACACGACACGGTACAGGATGAGCCCGATTTTAAGCCCATGCCGCGTCGTGTGCATTTCGTCTTGGTCTGTCAATATGTCTCGTGTTTTATTCATTTAAATGTTAGTGTTTTTGTGTGTTTGTAAAACTCGATGATCTCACAAGAGTGATATGACAACAAGAGCCTGGTGATGAGGTTATAACCTTGAAACCGGTTGCTCAATACAACAAATTTAGGATCACTGACGGAAACATGTAATTTTATACCATTTTAACAACGGGATATCTAGTTGATATTTATTATACAACCATTAATGATTATTAGTTCAGTGCTGACAAGACTATCGCTTGTGCAGATAGACGTGTTGGAGTACATGCATGACAAAGGCTACGCCCACTGTGATGTGAAGGGAGCCAACCTACTACTCGACACCCAGGACCAGGTGTATCTGGTAGACTTTGGTCTGGCGTCTCGTCTCTCTACGGACTTCAAACCTGACCCCAAGCGAGCCCACGACGGCACCATAGAGTACACTAGTAGAGATGCCCACACTGGAGGTGAATACTCAGTTAATAGTCAAACGTGGTAAAGGTAAAATTACCATTTAAGATACAGGCTACGCTAATGGTGATGCCATTTATGACAATGCCCTTTGTTGACTTTTTTCTGGTAGATTGTTAATTTTTCACGGATTGTCTTAGTGCTGTTGGATTACTATATGGCTCACGACCTGGAATTTTCATTATAGGCTAATTTAAATTAGTTCCAAAGATTACTGTTGATTGATATTATAGTTTTCTCATTTGCAAATTCTGTGTACTCTTGTAGATTTGCCAATCACTTAAAAATCTCATATTTTGATATAAATGAAACATACTGCCAAAGTTCAAATTAAGTTTCTTTCATCTTTAAATTGATTTCTGTGATTCTAGTGAGGACCCGCAGAGGAGACTTGGAGGTGCTTGGATACAATTTGCTTCACTGGACAACCTCCGCTTTACCTTGGGAAAACATCACAGACCCCAAAGTTGTTGAAGAGAAAAAAAAGTCCATATTGAGTTCTGGAGCTTCATCAGTGAAGAAATCTCTACCTTCGACGCCTCCAGGTGAGGTTATGATCAATAAAGTTGAGTCGTCTACTAGATGTAAGCCCAAAGTATTTGGTAACACGGTTTGCAGCTAATCTATTGCTTTAATGGTACTTGATTGTTATGGTCGCCATTTAATTGAAAAGTATTACTTATTAAACATTGCGCAACGGAATAATTCCTAATAGTAATAATGAGACCTTTAACCAAACCTTGTCTCGAATTATGATGAGAAAATAGAATCTCGTCTCAAACTTAAAATCCAGTCTCGTCCATCCCTACGTAGCAGTGTAGAAAAAACTTTACACCCAAATAAATGGCAGTGGCTTCTTTGTCAATTTGGCTGTAATGATTCTCACGTTTGTTCAGGGATGTAGATGCAAAGGCAATTGGCCTTTCTGTTCCATATTTTAACCGGTGTGAAAAAATTACATCTCCCAGGTCAGTTGGTGATGCATCCATTGACTACAGTCTAATAACAATGAAGGATTGTTGTTAATTAGTGTTTTAAAATATCCATTTTAACAGATTGTAAACTTCTTTGACATTCAGTTATCCATTCAAATGTCTTGCCCTTCTGTGAAAGTGCAATGGATATAGTTTCTTGACCTGGTTAGGTATACATTTATTATAGTAGTGTAACCTATGAAAGGATGTATTAGGTTGACATCCCAAGGTTGCTTTGCTTCAAGAATTTTTTACCTTTTCAGATCCCTTTTTATCTCTCAATTTTCTTAAATTGTATGACTAATAGTTTAGCAATAGTTTTCTTAAAGAATGTACACTTTTCAAAATTCCATCTAAGGACATGTTTAAGATTATCAATGATTAGTTTGGTATTTTGATTATTGGATTGGATGTTTATGTCGTCATAGAAGCATTTATTGTAGTACTCTGTCACTGATTGTGCTACTTATAACTTATTACCCCAATCATTCTGTTTACTCTGTAAAAACCTTTTTATACTAAGGAAATTAAACAAAAGTTAAATGGGCATGGAATCATTCAACCACCTCCAAAAACAATCTAAAGACCCGACAATCTAAAACAACCAGAAGGTGTTACAGGAAGATATTGGGTTGTGAATATACACTTGTCACTGAATTAATAATGTTGTTATTAAATTTCAGTTATTGTCAACTTCTTGGACTACGTAAGCAAACTGAAGCCAGAACAAATCCCTGATTACAATCACTGTCGAAAGCTATTCAAGGACGAGTTGAAAAAACTGGGAGCTTCAGTCAGCGGCAAGTTTGTCTTCAGTACAGCGGAAAAGAAAACTCCAAAGAAAGCAGCGGCAAAGCCCACAAAAGTGACTACAAGAAGAGGACGGAAAGAGAATGTAGAAGTCAACGCCAATTCTGCATCACAAGACGAGGAAGAAGACGAAGAATTGGTGGAAGGTACGCCAGAAGAACCGAAGAAACGCTCGAGAGCAGTCAAGGCTAAAACCGCACCAAAGGCGAGTTGGAAGGATTCTGCCACAGCCAAGGCTAGTAATGTTGTTAAAGCAGGGGAGTATGTCAGTATTAATCCCAAGCCTACGCGAAAGAGGAGGAATGAATAAATTTCTACATTGTATCAATGTGGATTTTGTTTCCGGTATGAACACATTTTATGTATCTTTCTTCTTTCTATGTTCTCAGTTACTATTTATAAATAATATATTAATATTTTTTACTCTATTATTGAACTTGTATGTTAATATGTTTGCCAAATTGCGTAAAAATTAAAAAAATGTTTTGATGTTTTTATTGAAAATTTGTACTTACATTGAGTGATTATTATTGTTAGTTCACGCTGTTTTACTGCTTTTTACCATTGTTTAATGTTAATATTAATTTATTTATTTCAACGTTGAACTTAGTCACAGGTGCATTCACACCTGGTATGATAATGTGATTGTATTTTATCTGACTTTCAATTGTGTTTGGTTTAGTTTAACTGTTGTATTCGATTTGTAAATTTGTGAACAGTTAGTGTTTTTCAAACATTGTGTTGATTATTTTCTTAGGCAAGGTAGACTAGCGATCCAGTGCCTTAAAACTTTTTATTCATACTGTATCTTATAATTTACCATATTGGTAAAGAAACGTTGATTGTTTCGCATTTACTTGATGTACTTGTTTCAGATAAGTCCTTTGTCATTTTGAACTGTGTTCATAATTTGCCATTTTCATTGTATGAATTCAACACATTCCAGTTGACTCCTGTTTCTATTACAATAAAAATAATTTCAATATTACCGTATTATTTATTGCTTTGAATTCAGGACTTTCAGTGGAAGTAGAGATGCAAATTTTTAAAGATTTTATTGTAAAATAATTGCAAAATCAACAATAACAAGTAGCACTACTAGAACTAAATCTATAGGTCAAAATAAAGCTTTTGAGAACATTCAGCTCGAAGAATGAAAATACAAATATATCTGTACCAAAATATGTCAATAAATAGTAGATGATGGCCTAGGGAATGGCGCAGTATAACTTAATCTAGTACAATTCTTCATCTTGCCCATGATTTATTTAAGCAGCTATAACCTTTCCATTCAAAATTAACAACTTTATTAAGAGATATCATTTTGTTTTAACTCAATACATGGATCAAAAGTGCATTGTGTGGAATGTCTGTACACTTAAATTAACACAATAATTTCCAAAGTTGAAAAAATGTCAAAATATTGCTTTAATTACAAGCAAGGCTCTAAATTATTTACCAAGTTACTTAACCTAATACACTGACATAAAACCGACTGATTCAACTGAACCAGAACTGATTGTTAGAACTGATTCAAATGAAGTTCTAAAATTACATCACTAAAATATATATCACTAAACATAAACAAATATGATTCTAAAAGTAATATCATATTTAATGTGCGAAGTATGTGACACACAATGCTTCCTTACAACGATGAAAATACACAAGTAAAAGCTCGCCAGGCCAAAAATTAGGTAGTAAGAATAGGACTTATTACTTAGTAATTTCAGTACAGCTTCTTACCCATTATCCATCTAATATCACAGTCCAGTTTGCTGATCCAAAAATAAAAACAAATGATTTGTACAATTAGTTTTAACTAAACATACGACAATAATTGACAAGTAATCTGATAACCTAAAAAACAATAGTTAACAAATAAGATATAAGGAGGTAAATATAAACTAATTGGTTTAGTTTGTTTGTTTTGCTTAGTATTAGTCTAGAAACATTGAAATTGGGATAGAGATGTCTCAGTTCTATCATGGCATAACAGAATCATATAATTTAGCCTACAATCATAATCATAATACACTGGCAAATTAATGATGTGCAGGTTTGTTGGGGAAATAAGTGAACCCATAATAAGTGTGTGTGTGTGTGGGGGGGGGGGGGGATAAGTTTGGGAAAGTGTGTGTGGGTTATTACAGTTAAGGTCATCTGTGTAACCAAGTCGTTATATTAATTATAGTTAGGGATGGTCAAGTCTCGAAATTTTGGGAAATTTTAAATCTCGTTACACGAGACGAGATTTCTTTTTGACCAAGATTTTTATCAAGACGAGAATAAAAAAAAAAAAAAATAAAAAACGCCTGCAGAAAGTCAATGCAATACTCGCAATACAGGAGCGTGTTGTAGTTGCGTTTCCTTTGCGGAGGCGTTCTTATTTAATTAATTCTTTAAATGTAAATATTACTTTAATTATTTTAATAATATTACTTTAATAACATTTGAGAAGTTTTGTTAAGTGTAAGCCGTGTGAGGAATGTTTTATTACTATAAAAAGTCAAAACAAGTACCTAACTATTTTATAAAAATTAATATTGCTTTTATTTTATGATTTATTTTATTTTAGGATAAGTTGAACTCTATCCTAACTGATATCACTATGTTTCCTAATCGTAGGCATTTTTAATAAGTTAGGCGTGATTAATAAAAAAATGTTATGCTGATGGTTTTTAATAAAAGATTGTAAATATTCTTGCCTATTATCATTATTTTTGTATTTAAACAATCATCTAACAATGTTACAAAATCAGGTAAAAATTTTGAATGTGCATTTCCCGTTGTGTATGAGAAGGGAAATCCCGTCTCGATCTCGTCTCAAAATTTTATGAGAAATAAAAAATCTCGTCTCGTCTCGTCTCGAACTAAAAATCCAATCTCGTCCATCCCTAGTGTTGTTTTATGAATCTATAGTTATATTAAAATCTGAAGGTCGGTGGTTCAATTCCAAGTGAGATCTTTACCAGACCCAGATGCGAATATTTTACTATAAAACACACTTCATTATCCTATCTGTAGCAGCAAACCTAGGTACTCATTAAACCTAATGTTATTTAAATAGATTTAAGTGAAAAATCAGGAAAATGAAAATTCGCTTAGTCTGCAAGTTTACCTTGGCGAGGTATTTTAGGATCAAACCAGCAACCTTTTGATTGTTAGGGGAGCACTATAACCAGCCAGTCAAGGAGTTCATTACAATGGATTTGGACGAGTTGGAGCCCCGATGTAATTATGTTTTTGGCGCTGATATATGGGTCCCACATAAAAAATCTGGCATCACATCAACCTATGCACTACATTCCCTTACAAATCTAATCGGATGCAGCATGCTACCTGTATTTAGTTTACTCTTGTACAATACACTAAACTCGTAATATTAATTTTTAATCTTTTCTGTTACATCAACCACCTCAGTAACATAGACTAAGGGGGAAAATTGAATTTTAGATTGTGGCACATTCTGTGAGTGGCTTATTAAACTTTATCCTTATGACTTATGAATAAAAAATTGGCTACAGCTGATCCATGTAGATGGGATGTCTACTTAGGTATCCAAAAGTCAATGATTACTGACATCATCTAGGACTATCCAGAAAGTAAATTAAGTTTTTGTCAGTTCTCTCCAGGGGCTAGGGCAGTCCTGTTAGTGTCTGGCTGGTACATCAGGTGGAGTGTGTCAATGGATTAGATTTTAAAATGACCGGATGAATTTACACGATAAAGAGCAGACTGGACAACCAGCCAAACTGGTTAAAAAGTTGATGCAAGAGATTGATTAAGAAACCCGACAGTTCATAATAATTACAGGACCTCACCTACATTTCCACAAATGTTTAACTCGTGATTGTCACTGATAAGCTTGGTTACCACAAGTTTTGCACCCGATGGGTAAATAATAAAATGACTTGCTTTAGATTTTGTATTTTCATAGTATACTAGCTGGCACGACAGACGTCGTCCTGTCCTAATGTGGTTTTATGTCAAGTGCTCGTTCATTTCAAGATGAACTTGTTCGCATGGCTAAATAACGTCCTGGTTGAAGTTCGTTCGCTACGCTCACTCACATTTAGGTTGGAGCTCGCTGCGCTCACTTGCCTTCAGGTTAGCTCGTTCGCTACGCTAACTCGCCTCCAGGTTGAAGTTCGTTCGCTACGCTCACTCACCTTTTGGTTGCAAATTAGCTGTTGTCATAAATTTGAAAAAATAATAGTGCTGCACCCTGTTGGTAAACCTATTAACTTTTTAATGTTATATTGGACATCACAGAATCAAATTGTTTAGTTGAACCAGCTGTTAAGATTCTTTAATTCCATTTAAATATGAGTGCTCATAAGGTTAACATGGGAAACTCCAGAACCACTGGGGCGGAGCCCTTTTGGCGGATCTGCACCAAACTTCACACAAACCATCCTTGAATAGTGCTTAATAATGCCTGAAAGTTTCATTACAATCTGTCGAGCGGTTTCGGAGTCCATAAAGGACAAACAAACAAACATACATTGGATTTTATTATATAGAAGATTAATTAATTGATGTTTTAGTGAATTCAAGTAAACTATTGTTATTTGTTTAAAATGTAAAGAAGAAAATTGTGTTAAATTTTGTGTTTTCATTTCATAGTATGTTTCATTAGTCTTTGTATTTTTTCTAAGATGCCTGGAAGAGATCGCGCTCTCAATGATAATAATAGGGCCTGCAGTACAATACTTTTTCACCCTTATCAATAGACAATTCAGTAAATTCCCCTCTTTTTGAACTTGGACTAATGAATGAAGTATGTAGTTTTTGCGATGCTTTATATTTTAGAGGTGCTCACTTTTTTATGAATGATTTTATAATTTACTAGCTGGCTCGACAGACGTCGTCCTGTCCTAATGTGGTTTTATGTCAAAAGCTCGTTCATGTTCAAGATGAACTCGTTCGCATGGCTCAATCACGTCCTGGTTGAAGTTCGTTCGCTGCGCTCACTCACCTTTGGGTTGAAGCTCGTTCGCTGCGCTCACTTGCCTACAGTTTAGCTCGTATGATACGCTCACTCACCTTTTGGTTGAAAATTAACTGTTGTCATAAATTAAAAAAAATAATAGTCCTGCACCCTGTTGGTAAACCTATTAACTTTTACCATTGAACATCACAGAATCAAATTGATTAGTTGAACCAGCTGTTAAGATTCTTAAATTACATTTAAATATGAGTACTCATAAGATTAACATGGGAAACTTCAGAGCCACTGGGGCGGAGCCCTTTTGACGGATCTGCACCAAACTTCACACAAACCATCCTTGAATAATGCTTAATAATGCCTGAAAGTTTCTTTACAATCTGTCAAGCGGTTTCCGAGTCCATAAAGGACAAACAAACATACATACATACAAACATACATACAAACAAACATACATTGGATTTTATATATATAGAAGATTGGAGAAACAAATTACAAAGCAATGTTCAGGGTTTGCTTAAAAACAATTACAAGACAGTAAGTTAATGATTATCACGTAAAAAATAGATAATTTTCAACTTAACTCAGAGCAGTAGAACTTTGTAAATTAATAAAAATATCACGACTTTGAAGTCACGAAGGGACCCATGCTGCTAGTATGCATTAAAACTGCCTTATACTTTGTTTATTCTTAAGGAATTTCTAAACGTTATCTACTTCCTGGACAGCCTTTGTATATACCATAATTAATTCAGAACTTAGTTCATGATGTTATGAAACATCTCATCCCAATAAGTAAAGTCGGGACCACGTAAGTTTGCAGTTGGTGGCAGCCAATCACAAGACAAGGCTAGTGCGACGTTGCCACATCGCCTGTTGACAACACTAATTAAAATATAATAAGCAATATTTTCAAATCAGCTGGTATTATTAGATTTGGCAACACCGCCGCACGGTTCTCATTGGTTCATTCAAAACCATATGGCAAATAGGCTCCTCCCTCAACTGCAAACTTACGTGGTCCCGACTGTAAGTATTTATCAGATAAGTATTACAGTATTTGAAACTAAGGTAACATTACATATTCGGTATCAAATTTTGAATTACTCCCTATTTGATTTGTTTATGGGAAAAATGTTTAAACTTGGTAAAAATATGCCAAACTAACATAAATTTAACAAAAAGTTAACAATAAACTGAAATCAAATTTAATGATACATCACTATTTGAAAATCAAAAAAATTGATTCATAGTCCTAACCATTAATTACCATGTTAAACAGTTACGACAACATTTTACTGAGCTCACTAGTTTGGGTAGAGAGTCAACTCTCTATTGCACCAAGTGTATTTGTCTGTGGTCATCGAATTCTAAGAATCAGGCAATCGTTTCACTTTCGTTGCTATCAAACAATCACTAGTGTAGAGAGGCAGCCCCTATATCACCTCCCAGTCGTCGTCTTTGTCTGTGCTTGCTGCCGACCTGGCCTCTTCAGTCAGGGAGACCTTATGCTGCTGGTAGACGGCCAGACTGCCACCTTTGTCTAGGACACCCCACAACCCTTCACTGACTGAGGCTGTCAATAGACCCAGGGCCCCCGGCACCTGGTACCAGTAATTGCCAATGTAGTTGTTCTCAGAGATACCAGCCCGACAGAACACACCTCCGCTGGTAGATAGAGCCCAGACTGACGAACCACTGGAACATGAGATAGGAACCAAATATGAGTGTAGAATGGAGTAAGAAGGCTTGTGTAGCTTTGTTACTAAGACCCGCTTGTTTATTACAAGGGACAAGCCCAACAATCAAGGGGGTTTAAATCAAAAGTTTCTTACTTTTTTCAACATTATTTTTATTTCATTTGTTGTATCTTAATAATGCATAATTTTTTATAGTGTGTAACTTATATGGATTGAATTATAATTGGATCCAAAAATCTTTAACTTGGTGGAGATAAAGAGGATGAAGTTATCCTTGAATAATGATGAGATATTCCCTGTTTGAAATTGGTGTAATTGATAATTCATCAGAAATCAGGGTAATACCAATAGTGAAGTTAACTTTAGTGAGGATTGTACTGCACTCTACACAAATAGCAATACCTAATGGAAAGATGAGAAGCTTTAACTCCGGACACCAACACCCAGTCAGTCCCCAGTTGGAAGTCATGGAATATTCCCGATCGAACATAGATGTTGCTTTTATTGTCAACTGCCCAGACAATATGTGTTTCTGAACCGACAAAGACCTGAAATAAATAAACAGTTAAAACATTGATTTTATCAAAACAAACCTTAACTTAAAGGCTGCCTATTGTATTAAGTGTCTTCATGAGCAAAATGTTTGACTAAGACTAATGTTCATGGAATCTTATGATTTTACCATGTAGATGTCACAAGCCTAGATGACATCAGAACTTACCTTGACAATCGCTGTGTTGGAGAGAGGTCTGCCCTCCACTAACACCCAGGCTGGGGAGAATGTATCTGTAGCTATCAGGTAGGGAGACCCCACAGCCATGTAGATGTCACCCTTGGTATCACAAGCCCACATGACATCAGAACTTACCTTGACAAACACTGTGTTGGAGAGAGGTCTGCCCTCCACTAATACCCAGGCTGGGGTGAATGTATCTGTAGCTATCAGGTAGGGAGACCCCACAGCCATGTAGATGTCACCCTTGGTATCACAAGTCCACATGACATCAGAACTTACCTTGACAAACACTGTGTTGGAGAGAGGTCTGCCCTCCACTAATACCCAGGCTGGGGTGAATGTATCTGTAGCTATCAGGTAGGGAGACCCCACAGCCATGTAGATGTCACCCTTGGTATCACAAGCCCACATGAAATCAGAACTTACCTTGACAAACACTGTGTTGGAGAGAGGTCTGCCCTCCACTAATACCCAGGCTGGGGTGAATGTATCTGTAGCTATCAGGTAGGGAGACCCCACAGCCATGTAGATGTCACCCTTGGTGTCACATCCCAGATAGCATCAGAACTTACCTTGACAAACACTGTGTTGGAGAGAGGTCTGCCCTCTACTAATACCCAGGCTGGGGAGAATGTATCTGTAGCTATCAGGTAGGGAGACCCCACAGCCATGTAGATGTCACCCTTGGTATCACAAGCCCACATGACATCAGAACTTACCTTGACAAACACTGTGTTGGAGAGAGGTCTGCCCTCTACTAATACCCAGGCTGGGGAGAATGTATCTGTAGCTATCAGGTAGGGAGACCCCACAGCCATGTAGATGTCACCCTTGGTGTCACATCCCAGATAGCATCAGAACTTACCTTGACAAACACTGTGTTGGAGAAAGGTCTGCCCTCTACTAATACCCAGGCTGGGGAGAATGTATCTGTAGCTATCAGGTAGGGAGACCCCACAGCCATGTAGATGTCACCCTTGATGTCACAAACCCAGATGACATCAGAACTTACCTTGACAAACACTGTGTTGGAGAAAGGTCTGCCCTCTACTAATACCCAGGCTGGGGAGAATGTATCTGTAGCTATCAGGTAGGGAGACCCCACATCCATGTAGATGTCACCCTTGATGTCACAAACCCAGATGACATCAGAACTTACCTTGACAAACACTGTGTTGGAGAGAGGTCTGCCCTCTACTAATACCCAGGCTGGGGAGAATGTATCTGTAGCTATCAGGTAGGGAGACCCCACAGCCATGTAGATGTCACCCTTGATGTCACAAACCCAGATGACATCAGAACTTACCTTGACAAACACTGTGTTGGAGAAAGGTCTGCCCTCTACTAATACCCAGGCTGGGGAGAATGTATCTGTAGCTATCAGGTAGGGAGACCCCACAGCCATGTAGATGTCACCCTTGGTATCACAAACCCAGATGACATCAGAACTTACCTTGACAAACACTGTGTTGGAGAGAGGTCTGCCCTCTACTAATACCCAGGCTGGGGAGAATGTATCTGTAGCTATCAGGTAGGGAGACCCCACAGCCATGTAGATGTCACCCTTGATGTCACAAACCCAGATGACATCAGAACTTACCTTGACAAACACTGTGTTGGAGAAAGGTCTGCCCTCTACTAATACCCAGGCTGGGGAGAATGTATCTGTAGCTATCAGGTAGGGAGACCCCACAGCCATGTAGATGTCACCCTTGATGTCACAAACCCAGATGACATCAGAACTTACCTTGACAAACACTGTGTTGGAGAGAGGTCTGCCCTCTACTAATACCCAGGCTGGGGAGAATGTATCTGTAGCTATCAGGTAGGGAGACCCCACAGCCATGTAGATGTCACCCTTGATGTCACAAACCCAGATGACATCAGAACTTACCTTGACAAACACTGTGTTGGAGAGAGGTCTGCCCTCCACTAGTACCCAGGCTGGGGAGAATGTATCTGTAGCTATCAGGTAGGGAGACCCCACAGCCATGTAGATGTCACCCTTGATGTCACAAACCCAGATGACATCAGAACTTACCTTGACAAACACTGTGTTGGAGAGAGGTCTGCCCTCTACTAATACCCAGGCTGGGGAGAATGTATCTGTAGCTATCAGGTAGGGAGACCCCACAGCCATGTAGATGTCACCCTTGATGTCACAAACCCAGATGACATCAGAACTTACCTTGACAAACACTGTGTTGGAGAGAGGTCTGCCCTCCACTAGTACCCAGGCTGGGGAGAATGTATCTGTAGCTATCAGGTAGGGAGACCCCACAGCCATGTAGATGTCACCCTTGATGTCACAAACCCAGATGACATCAGAACTTACCTTGACAAACACTGTGTTGGAGAGAGGTCTGCCCTCTACTAATACCCAGGCTGGGGAGAATGTATCTGTAGCTATCAGGTAGGGAGACCCCAAAGCCATGTAGATGTCACCCTTGATGTCACAAACCCAGATGACATCAGAACTTACCTTGACAAACACTGTGTTGGAGAGAGGTCTGCCCTCCACTAGTACCCAGGCTGGGGAGAATGTATCTGTAGCTATCAGGTAGGGAGACCCCACAGCCATGTAGATGTCACCCTTGGTATCACAAGCCCAGATAGCAACAGAACTTACCTTGACAAACACTGTGTTGGAGAGAGGTCTGCCCTCTACTAATACCCAGGCTGGGGAGAATGTATCTGTAGCTATCAGGTAGGGAGACCCCACAGCCATGTAGATGTCACCCTTGGTATCACAAGCCCACATGACATCAGAACTTACCTTGACAAACACTGTGTTGGAGAGAGGTCTGCCCTCTACTAATACCCAGGCTGGGGAGAATGTATCTGTAGCTATCAGGTAGGGAGACCCCACAGCCATGTAGATGTCCCCCTTGGTATCACAAGCCCAGATGACATCACATCCGATGCTGACATGCCTCAGAGTTACTTGTTTGTCACCTGAAAGTTTCACAAACCATTATGAATATTCCTAATTTCTAGCAATGTACAAAAACGGATTTGATACACATAATAAATCCTATCCATCAAAACAAACACTCAATCCGATTGAAAATCAAGAACAAGTTTCAACAATGCTGGTATAATTTTGAAGTATCAGGTATCGGTATCCAGTGTTGGGAAGTAGCGCGCTACTTTTTTTGTAGCGTTAGCTGTAGCGCTGCTGACCATTTTTAAAGTAGTTGTAGCGGAATTTTAGCTACTTTTCTCGCTACATTAACATCGTTTGAGATAGTGATTTTTATCATAACCTCAACATTACGTGAATCCTTTCAAACTGAGATTTTCAAAAAGTTAGGCCTACTTTCTTGGCTTCATACAGCTGGTTGCAGCCGTTTCATTCCCTATACAACTTTGTGTGGACATGGAGGCCATGAAATGAGTGTGTTCCACATTTTTGGCTCTCATTTCCTTAGTTTACTACTCTATGATTACTGTCAGATTAAATAAAATCGCTAGATGCAGTGCAGACGACTTTTAAACGTTACCGGTGACAAGAGACGCTATTGAATCCTTGCAAGTGATTGACAGGGAAATTAGTAATCAATTTAGTTTCTTTATTATATCGATAGTGTTTCAACTTGGGTTTTAATTGAAACCAACACTAAACCTTAAAATAATGAGAAAGCTGGTCTATCAACCTTTGCTTCAGCTGTTGATTGTGGTTCATCATCACAAGCCCTTCCTTTTTTGGTTAGATTACGAAGATTTTTCAAAGGTTTACTAAATTAACAAAGATGAAATTACCTGATGTGATTTAAGATATGCCTAGACTAAATGATAATTGTAACCAAAAAATCTCCATATAACATGAAACTTACATTGAAAAAATAGCATAATTTGCTCCTGCTAACAGCTCTTGTATAGGACTATTTCTAGGCTATGCTATGGTTTAAGACGAATACCAAATTCCAAGTTCAATTATTAGGAATATATCTGTTTAGTCCTTGCAAGAACAAGCCTACTATAGCCAACTTGTTACATAGCCAAGTAGGCCTACATGTTATTTTTACTTTTCAAATTTCCACATGTTTAAATTAAAAGCCGATTTCAGGATAAGTTGCTGAATACTGTTTTCTGTACCAACTAGGTTGAAGCTAAATTTGTCTTATGCATAATGACAATACAGGACGATTTCTTGACATTGAAAAGTGTTATTCATAGAACAAGTAACTTATCACTATGGTTAAAAGTTATAGCAATGTCGTTTTTAACATTAAAAGTTAAGAAAGGCAATAAACTTCAATTTCAGTAGGCTAACTAGGCTCTGTAACACCAACAAGTATTTTTAAATAATCGTTTTACAGTTTTATTGGTGTTAATTGTTTATATAAGACATCTATAAATGAATCTATATTAAAGAAATAAAATGAGCTTTTAAAATATAGTTTGGTTGTATGTCCTTTGGACTTAATGAAATTTACATATAAGATGCTTAAAAATAATGCAATATTTAGAAATAAGTACTAAATATAATGGGAAACCCAACTATTTGGTTCTGTTGTTTTAATGTTAGGTATATAAATGCCGCCAACAAATTAAATACAATCTAGGAATAATTTGTTTTTCAAGTAATGTTAGACACAATCATTGACTATATATACCTATAGTCAATGATACAATACTGACATTTTTTGTTTAAATGTTTGTTCAATAAAAATGTAGTTGCAATTAATTTTACATTTACCTAATGTGCGTGGAATAAAAAGTAACGTCTTTGGAAAAGTAGCTAAAATTGTAGCTGTAGCTACATTTCATTGTAGCTGTAGTTGTAGCTAACTACTTTTTCGGAACTGTAGCTGTAGCTGTAGCTAAGCTACTTTTTTGGAAATGTAGCAGTAGTTGTAGCTAGCTACATTTTAAAAGTAGCTTCCCCAACACTGTCGGTATCGAGAATCGATAAATTTTGGTATTGACACGTCACTACCATAGTTTTAAGTATGTTGTTAAGTATTCATTAAAGGCATGCCTGCTGATCAATGTGACAGAGTGGCGAACCGCCAGCTTATTTACCATGCATAAAACATATGGGATATGGCAGTGAATCTATCAATGAATCTATCCAGTCTACTAATGTGACGTCATGTATCCTGCAGCATGGCCTGATTTTCTAGTGGGGCCTTGCATGTGTTTAACATTACAACAATACAAATTATGTAAACATCCTTATATATAATACGTGAAGGCGATTTCTACAAAACACTACTCCTCCGTTAATAATGG